CAGAGCTGAAGAAGCTTCTTGAATGAGAAAGCGAAACATCTTAAAAAAAAACCCAGAAAGTCCAGCTACCTCTTGAAAAAGTACCTTTGGGGTGGACCTCTCTTCTTTGTGGCAGCCCCTTAGATATAGAATAGAACAGATTTTTTTTATTGGCCAAGTGTGATTGGACACACAAGGAATTTGTCTTGGTGCATACGCTCTCAGTGTACATTTAAAAAAAGATACATTCATCAAGAATCGTAAGGTACAACACTTAATGATAGTCATAGGGAACAAATAAGCAATCAAATCATTATTAGGAAACAGTCAATATAAATCTTAAGGATACCAGCAACAAGGTTACAGTCATACAGTCATAAGTGGGAGGAGATGGGTGATAGGAATGATGAGAAGATTAATAGTAATGCAGACTTAGTAACTAGTTTGATAGTGTTGAGGGAATTATTTGTTTAGCAGAGTGATGGCGTTCGGGAAAAAACTGTTCTTGTGTCTAGTTGTTCTGGTGTGCAGTGCTCTACAGTGTCATTTTGAGGGTAGGAGTTGAAACAATCACTTTTCCGTGGTTACACCTAAAGCATGGGATACTGGCTGGCTGGTGATGAGATGGAGGCCATTTTGTGATGACATGTCTTTGAGGAACAGGCAACGGGGCAGTTGCATGATGGGGCAAGGTAGATGTTTGGATGAGTCCTTCACTCACTGGTGGGGAAAACCCAGATTTTAAGAATGGGCAGATGTGAAGGAATTATTCCAAGCCTAAGGAGAATGGATGAATAAGGTTTCTGGCAACGTAAGATTTCTTTCTCCCAATAGTACACATTTAGGCAAGAGATAGAAGCCTGCATTAATGACAGAACACTGTACCTGGGCTTCCTATATAGGCATCCACATCACAGCACATCTCTTGGGCCTTGTTAGATCCCCCTTCACCAAAACTGGTGGGGCCCATCTGTCATTTGCTATCTTCTCATGGATGGTTCTCATTTGCAGAGGGCTGAACTAGATCTTTGTGGTTCCTTCCAACTCTCTAGTTTAACCATTGTTCATCTCAAACATACCAGACCTCTGGCCTCCTGCATAAGAAACAGCCCCCCCCCACACACACACATAAGAAACAGGCAAAATTAATTGTATCTTCAGCAGTACCAAGCCAAGACCTGTGGTTGCAAGTCAGCTCACTTCACAGGAGGGGCTGCAATTCTGAATTTCTGCACTTCTGACAGCCTTGTAGATTCATACCAGTTATGAGAGGCAGTAGGGCAGGTGTCAGCTTTGGAAGCCATATTAACACCAGAAGCTTCCCCGTTGCCACCTTCTTGAGCTTGGGAAAGTAATGAGGGGGGAATTTAGTAGAGAGATTGTAGTTATTTATTTATTTATTGCTTCGATTTATATGCTGCCCTTCTCCGGAGACTCAGGGCGGCTTACAATGCGTTAAGCAATAGCCTTCATACTTTTGTATATACCTGCTTAGTAGGGCTTTTGGCCCCCCCTAAGCGGTGTTCTTTTTTATACAAAGTCAGCTTATTGCCCCCACAATCTGGGTTCTCATTTTACCTACCTCGGAAGGATGGAAGGCTGAGTCAACCTTGAGCCTGGTGAGATTTGAACTTGCAGTAATTGCAGGCAGCTGGTGTTACTTAACAGCACTTTAGTCTGCTGCACCACCAAGGCTCTTGATTAGTTAGACATAATAGCATTCTTCCCTACAGTCAAGGTCATGGTGTTCCTGCATCTGGAGGAGGAGGAGTTGCAGTGGTGGCTCAAGTTGGGACAGATGGTGATTGGGCCATGTGACGGACTGATGGGTGCAGGGGGCTGGATTTGGGGTTTTGATTTACTGAGGGAAAACCCAGAACTCTCAGATTCAGGTTTTCCCAGATGTGTCAGTATACCTACTCTAATAAATGGAAGATTTGAGATGATGCCTGTCTCGGAGTTTTTCATTGGAATTGGGGTTGTTCTGGAACACTGCCAGCAGGACTGCCTTCTTTTGTGAATGGTTGGCCTTAGAAAGCCACATTATTCACGCCTTCTTCCAGGGCTGGAGGCAAGTTTAGGATAATCTTCACCTCCATCCCATTTCTCCTAACACAGTTCTTCCACTGCGAGCAAACAGGAGCAATGGAGCATTTGGGCAACAGGCTGAGCAACAAAGCCATTTTTTTCCAGGTTCAGCATCAGTTTCCAGGCCACAAGTCACAAGCTGTTTTATCTACCATAAAAAGGCACCTGATGCACAATGATGCTATGCTACTTTACATCCTCAGACCACACTGGTAGCACATGGCAACCGTTACCGTATCAAATGGAGCACAAAGGTGCATCCATGAGCTTGACTGAACTGCAATGGCCATGTTGTGACTCCGACCCCTGAGCCATCTTATCGGAGGGAGAAGACTCCGAAGGAGAGGAGTTGGCCAGGCCTCCCTCTCCAGGACCCTCCTCTCTGGCAATGCCTCAGGTGTCTTCCAAAGGAGAAGAGATTGGCCAGGAGCCAGGTATCTCCGAACAGTCGCAGTCAGACAGTGATGGAGATAAGTCTTGGCTGGATCCACGCCAGTGTCGGAGAGACAAGCGCACGCAGCAGAAAAGGAGGCATGCCAGAGATTAAGCTGAGTCACTGGACCACACCCCACAGGGGATAAAAGGGGGTGTGGTGGCCATTCAGGCTCTGTGACGGACAAAACTAAACAACTAGCGAGTCACATTGTATCTCTGAAACTACGTTATCTGCCTGCCTTGGATTTAATACGGACTGGACTTGACAATTCTTTGACTTTGTGTATTTGTTTTGGTTTATCTGACGGAGGAGGAACACCTCTCTCTGTGAGTAAAGTTCTTGGCAAGCAGCTACTGGGTTGCTGCCAATCCTGTTATCGAAGGAATTTATTGTCTGCAAGTTTTATTTAACCCCTGGCTGACTGTTTGTGTGTGTGTGAGAGACGGGGACAGAACAGGCCAGCTCTGATGAGTGCTTTCACCATTACACCAAGCTGGCTCTCCAAAAGTTTATGGCTTGTTTTTTTGTTTTTTTTTAATTTGATTTATATGCCGCCCTTCTCCGAAGACTCAGGGCGGCTTACAATGTGCTCAGCAATAGCCTTCATCCTTTTGTATATTTATACAAAGTCAGCTTATTGCCCCCACAACTGGGTCCTCATTTCACCTACCTTAGAAAGGATGGAAGGCTGAGTCAACCTTGAGCCTTGGCGAGATTCGAACCCTGCAGTAACAGTAATAGAGTTGGAAGGGACCTTGGAGGTCATCTAGTCCAACCCCCTGCTCACGCAGGAAACCTGTATTAAGGATTCGAACCGCCGAACTGCCAACCTTTCTGATCGACAAGCTCAGTGTCTTAGCCACTGAGCCAAACTGAGTCCAAACTGCAAGATGCTGCTGCTGCAGGAGCCCAGACAGAGCAGCTAATCTTAGAAGTATCCCTCCAACTGAAGTCAATGAAAGTTTCCTCTACAAAACCTGGGACCAGCTTAAAAGTATGCCATTGATCACTTGTGCTGAAGAACAAACCTCCCATAGACTGCTACCCTCTGGAGATCAATGGGGAAGCTTCAGTATCACATTCCACAGGGGAGCCATGTTGAAAAAAGGAGCATCTCCCTTCCCTTTGTGCCCTATTTCAGCCACTTGGACACTTTCCACAACACAACCATCGAATTCTAATGGGATAGCTTCATGTCCAATTAGGTAACAACTAGAGCCACAAAGATGATTAGGGTACTGGAGCCTAAAACATATGAAGAATGGTTGCAGGAACTGGGTATGTCTAGTTTAATGAAAAGTAGGACTAGGGGAGACATGATAGCAGTGTTCCAATATCTCAGGGGTTACCACAAAGAAGAGGGAGTCAAGCTATTCTCCAAAGCACCTGAGGATAGGACAAGAAGCAATGGGTGGAAACTCATCAAGGAGAGAAGCAACTTAGAACTAAGGAGAAATTTCATGGCAGTGAGAACAATTAATCAGTGGAATGACTTGCTTCAAGAAGTTGTGGGCACTTCAACTCTGGAGGTTTTTAAAGAGTTTGGACAACCATGTCTGAAATGGTATAGGGTTCCCTGCTTGAACAGGGGGTTGGACTAGAAGACCTCCAAGGTCCCTTCCAACTCTGCTATTCTGTTAGGTAGCAGCACTTGGCTGACCTCCAAAACTAAACACACACAGAGGAAATCCCATGGCTGTGGACTAGCCAAAGCAATTGGAAAAACATTCTGGAAGTGATGAACTGTTTCTACACTTATGCCAATAAAACTACATGGATATTTCCATTAAGTCACTGCAAATTCTAGGTTGACTTAGCATCGGGCAGCAACGAAATGGTTTTTTTTTTAAAGGAATCTTTTTAATAGCCCTTTTCAGCCTGCACCCCAAAACAAATTTAACATTTGTTAGGATATTAAGTTTAGTAGCTGGAATAGTGAAGTATGAAGTGGGCCAAAGCACAGTTATAGTCAATTGGTTAGAGCAGGGGTCTCCAACCTTGGCAACTTTAAGCCTGGTGGACTTCAACACCCAGAATTCCCCAGCCAGGCAAAGCTGGCTGGGGAAGTTGAAGTCCTCCAGCAAAGCTGACTGGAGAATTCTGGGAGTTGAAGTCCTCCAGGCTTTAAGTTGTCAAGGTTGGAGACCCCTGGGTTAGAGTACTGTGCATGAGGCAATCTGCATTCTGATTGGTTGCTCTAAGTATAAAGGGGGAGTTTCCCTTTTCCCCGCTTTTTTCCCTGTGTTCTGTATGTTGTTTGATTTACCTCATGATGTTCTTGTGTTCCTGTCTTGTCTTTTGTAAATATGTTCAATAAATTTATTTATATAAAACTACAAATTTGTGTCAGTGCCTCTGGCAATACCTTGACAACATTCTTCAGTTAGGTGGCCTCTTTCAGTTTATGAATGAGCAAAAGAAATGTTAAGAACTGGTCAATGTAACCAGGGGAGTAGGAGAAAAAAGCGAAGCAGAAAAAAACAGAAAGGACACTTCATTTTTAACTGATTAAATAAAAGGAGTTTAATGCAACCATTAAAAAATACTCAGGTGCTTAGTACTGAAGACAGGGGTTCGGTGGAAAGAAAACAACCATCCCCTAAAATTAACTGGTTTGCAAAAAAAAAAAAAAAAAAAAAACACCTGGGAAATTATAGAATAAATTACATTTTCTATAGTTAGGAGGGGTGGGGGAAGGTGAAACAAAAGGTCCGGAGTTTTAATGAAAAGAGATTCCTGAGGAGATGGAAATAGAATGAAAACAAAAGTCAAGAGAACTCAAAAGGAAAACAAAACCATTTCGGGCGATTCAGAGGTCAGGATTCCAGACCTTGACAAAATTCGGCAGCTTTAGCAGATGGTCAGTCTCCAAGGAGCTGCAGACCCGAAGGGCAGGCACATGAGCCAGGTGGCGTTTTGAGAGGTAATCTGATGCATTGCCAGAGGTGAGAGGAACTCTTGCTTGAATCCTCTGGAACTGGAGTCAAGTGTCTAAATACAGGCATCCAGGGGTGTCTGCAGCATATAGCAATAGCACTTAAGACTTATATACCGCTTCATAGTGCTTTTACAGCCCTAAGCGGTTTACAGAGTCAGCCTATTGCCCCCAACAATCGGGGTCTTCATTTTACCAACCTCGGAAGGATGGAAGGCTGAGCCAACATTGAGCCAGTGAGATTTGAACTGCCGAACCACAGCTATCAGCCAGCTGAAGTAGCCTGCAGTGCTGCACTCTAACCACTGCACCACCTCGGCTCTTACATACCACCTTACAGTTCTTTTATAGCCCTCTCTAAGCGGAGACAGCATATCTGCTCCCAACAATTTGGGTTCCTCATTTTACCCACCTCGGAAGGACGAAAGGCTGAGTCAACCTTGAGCCTGGTGATATTCGAGCTGCCAAATTGCAGGCAGCCAGCAGTCAGCAGAAATAGCCTGCATTACTGCACTCTAACCACTGCGCCACCTCGGCTCTATATGGTCAAAAGCCCAAGGTGGTGGCTGCAACAGTCAAGTCTCCAGCCACCTAAAGGAGGGGTGTCCAAGCATGGCTGTCTGGGGAAACCTGGGAATTGAAGTCCATAGGGCTTAAAAGTTTCCAAAGGTGGACCTGTGCCCTAAATGCAAAGGGTACTTTTGAGTCTGTCAAGCATTGGATCCACACTGGAGTCCCAGGTATAAAGGTAGTCCTTGGCTTTGTTTAGTGGCCATTCGAAGTTACAACGGAAACAAGGGACCTGCAACCAGTTCTCCTGCTTATGACTGCTGCAGCATCCCCAAAGTCATGCAATCAAAATTCAGGTCTTAGGCATCTGGCATCTATTTACAATGGTCACAGCATCCCAGGGATTCATGTGACTGCCATTTGTGACTTCCCCCGCTGCCTTCTGGCAAGCAAAGTCAATGGGGGAAGCTGGATTTGCTTAACAACCATGTGATTCTCTTAACAATGGCAGTGATTTGCTTAACAACCATGGCTAAAAAAAGTCATAAAATCAGGCACGACTCACTTAACCATCTTGCGAGGCAATGGAAATTCTTGTCCGAATTGCGGTTGTAATTTGAGGACTAGCTGTAGTGGCTGGGTAATTTTGTCGCTCTGACTAAATAAGTTTCTTTTAAATAAATATAATAACCTAACTGATACTAAGGAATGAACAGTGTTCTGTATTTGATAGTTAGCAGTGTGTGATTTATAAACCCATTCTAAAAGGTCTTTACTTTTGGGAAAAAAACAAAACTAAAACTCATGTTTTAAGTGCTGGTTTACAAAATCTGGTTTCTTTTAACAAGGGCTGGTGACTCAGGAATTCTGGGAGTTGAAGTCCACAGGTCATAAAGTTGTCATAAGTGCCATTCCCTGAATTAGAGGACTCTGGATGACGTCTAGGTTTTCAAGTGGCGCCTATTTTTTCGGGATAGTGACAAAAAGATTAGGAATTATCAAACAAGTAATAATTACATTGCTAAGGCTACTAGACTGAGTCTGCCTGTACGGCAAGGCAAATTCTGGTTTAGCAGTGTGGAATATTGCAACCGATGGGACAGTTCATCAGAGGACACTGTGCTGATGATCAAATTGCTGTTCATCAGTCCCCTTCCACCCCCACCCACCCTTTACACCAACCCCCATTGTGGAAGCTAGCCAGGCAACATTTTCATTAGAAAAACACCAGAGACACAGAGGTCCAATCAGAGCTGGTAAAGTGGGGCAAAAGCCCCAATTTGTAGCATAGAGAGATCTTCCTCCTGCACACCCGGGAGTGGGGGTGCAGCTGAACAATAAGGCTTAAAATGATTTATACAGAAGCACCCTATATTGTACATTAAGAGAAGCAACTGTCCTCTGGGCTGCTGTTTTCAGAGCCATGCCACACCTCCCACCAGTAAATGTCACTCCAAAGCCTGATTTTTCCCTTCCCCCTCCCCACATTCTGGGCAAAAGGTCTCTTGAGAAGTTTTAGGTTACATGCACACCTCTTTCCTGTGCCAAATTCAACATTCTCAACTGTTTTAAACACTTTAAAGGTATACCATCGAACAGTCTGTTCACACATTTACCAATCTCCCAGTAAAAATAAGCTTCCAAGCAAAGCTCTGTATTTGTTTGCACACAATACTAACAAATTATGTGTGCTGCACTAAACACAAAAACAGCTGGTTAAAAAAAGTTTCAGATTGCCGTCATAATAATTTACATCCCAGTAACTGAAGGTGTCAATTATAGGGATGCAAAATGAATACGTAATCATTTTTAATCTATTTGTACTAAATACTAGTAGTCCTTGATTTACAACTATTCATTTAGCGACTGTTCAAAAATTACAAAAGCACTGAAAAAGGGGCTTCGATCAGTTCTCACATCACAGCATTCCCACGGTCATGTCAACAAATTTTGGGCACCTGGCATATATTTACAGCAGCTGCAGCGTCCTTGGATACACCATAAGCAACCTTCCTAGCCAGCTTCCAACAAGGAAAGAATGGGGGAAGCTGGATTTGCTTAATGATGGCATGATTCACTGAACAACTGCAGTGATCTGCTAAACAACCACGGCCAAAAAGGTCATAAAGTGGGCATGACTCCCTTAACAACTGCCTTGTTTAGAAATGGAAATTCTGGTCCCAATTGTGGTCGTAAATCAGAACTATCTGTATGTATATGATACATATTCTAAGTTAGCATCCAAGTTTAGAGCATCCAGAAAAGGTACGGATTCAGAAGTTTCTGAATACAGCCCATGGTGTGATTATTAGGGGACTGAAAGTTCCATGGAAGGAAAAACACACAAGGGATGGCGGAGGACTAGCAGAAGAATCCTTGTGTCAGTATGGACAGACCAGGATGCTTGATGCTCTTCCTTGAACTCATATTGTCAGAAATGAGGTTACTGTAGGGCACCATTTCCCAACCTTGACAATGTTAAGACATTTGAACTTCAACTCTCAGAATTCCCCAGCAAGCATACCATGGCAGTGCAGTGGTTAGAAAGCAGTATTGCAGGCTAATTCTGCCCACAACATAGAGTTCAATCCTGATTGGCTCAAGGTTGACTCAGCCTTCCATCCTTCCGAGGTGGGTAAAATGAGGACCCAAATTGTTGGGGGCAATAAGCTGACTCTGTAAACTGCTTAGAGAGGGCTGTAAAACACTATGAAGCGGTGTAAAAGTCTAAGTGCTATTGCTATTGCTATCTTAAAATTAGCAAGGTTGGGAAACACTACTATAAAGTGACTGTTTGAAAACTGAAGTATTGTCAAATCCACAGAATGAGATGGTGCTACCAGGCAAATCTTCTCACCATTCCAAGAAGCTTTCTTTGAAATCAAGTCACTCCAACCTTGCAAAGGATTTTGCAGTGAAGCCTGAAAAATCCCATTCCCTTAGCAAACAGATGATAAAAAGAAAATGTAATTTTAAGAAAGGAAGAATGAGGGAGAGAAATTTCCAGTAAGGGTAACCATCTCTTAAAAAAAAAAAAAAAGATATGGTCCCCTAAAAGGAGGTTTTTAATTGTAACAATCCACCTTTCCTTCCATTTAAATGTTAAGCCATTTCACATCTTAAAGAAAAAAAATATCCAGGTCACCTATTCTTATCATTTCAAAGAGAGATAGCCTTTATACAATGTGCATATCTGCACCCATCTAATAGATTATATAAATTTCACAGCTACACTTTATTAGAACTAAAAACAGCAGCCTTTTATTCCTCAAACTGCATTGTTGCTGTTTTTTTTTTTTTAAGAAAAGGGGGCAAAAGGCCCCTTGCACAGTTTGCCATCTTACGAAGTGTTCCAAGGAAGAAGACTGCTTGCAAATCTAAAAAAAAACAAACAAATGTAGACCCTATGCCATGACCCCACCTTTGCTAGAGTGGGGATCGGGGAGGGGGAAAAGCACAGAAGCCATCACATTTGGATGAAAAAAAATATTAAATAAAATAAATTATTAAATGAAGGAGTTGGCTGACTTACCACACCCAAGGGTGCTTGGAATTTGAATGCAAGTGTAAGAGGCTGGTGTGTGCAAACAATTTTAAGAGCAACTTTAGCAACCCAAAAAGGGCTACAGATGAGGTTCACATAAGACTGTCTCAGAATACGGCCACGCATTCAAACCCCAGCATCCCTTTGTCTTGCAACCAGATTACCACTGGGTTTAGCAAGCCGACAAGCACAAGGCAGCTCTCACTGAGAGTTACTATAAAAGCAGGATCAATTAGTTTAAAAAGAGAGAGAGAGAGAGGGAGAGGGAGAGAGAGAGAGATTCAAACAAGAATGATTTTACAGCAAAGAAGAACCGGTTTCATTTTAAACCAGACCATTTTTAGCCAAAGTTGCTTATTTTTTTTGTGGCCAGTTCAGTTTTATCAGGCAATTCCATTGTCCAAGATTATAGAGTGGCCGAGTCTCCATTCTGCCATACACGTTGCTTCCTGCTGCTTCATCCCCAAAGTCTCCCTGTTTAGAGTGAAGTTGAACACTGCTCGTTTTAAAAGGAAAAAAAACAACAACCCCACAGTCTTTAATCTTTTGAATGTATATTATACCCTAATCCCATCTAGGTAAAAAGTGCAGCATCGTTTTCTACAGAGCCGGCAAGGGCCCACCATCAGGTAAGCATTACGGAAGGGAGAGCCCAGGGGAAATTCCTGGAAAACTACTCTGCTGAAGAAATCATGGGCGCTTCTGAAGCAAAAGAGGCCTCCACCAGGCAAAAGATGGTGCCAGCAAGTCTTCACTCCCTTCTCCAAGCAAGCAGAAATGCCAAAATCCTAATCTCGATCCAGAGTCTCATCCCTCCCCAGCAGAGCAGAAAAGGTTAGAAAAGGATATGTACCATATTATTTTTCTAAGGTACAAAAGGATATTTGAGCAACATCTCACTTTGAGGCACTGGGAAAGATAGCTACGGTAGGGCTATTGGGGATGGGGTGGGGGGAAGAGGCCAGTTCCTACGGCACATTAAGCCAGCAGGCCAGAAGAGAAGAGAAGCTCTACATTTCAGATCGATGGGTGGCTACGGAAGTCAGGAAAGGCAAAATCCAAAGAGATCTGGTCTTTCTTTAAAAAAAAACACACACACCATCAACAGATTTGGCATGAGGTGTCAATTAAAGGAAATTTTCCCGCCTCTCTTTTCATCCCCAAGCGTTCCTTATGAAGAGCAGAACTCTACCCTATAAATTGGAGGAATCTGTTTTAAGCAGTGAAGAAAATAAAATCTTCCAAGCTTCCGGGTAAATGTACAATACATCTTCCTGTAAAGGGAACAGCACTTCCTGCGAGGGTCCTACATTTTGAACCGAAAGCACTGCTACAAGTTGAGTGGAACCATCAAATTGTCCTTCTGAAAACACAAAGGCCTTGCAAAATTGAACTGGAGCACATCAGACAACTGGAGCAATTGCCTAACTGGCAGATCCTCTCAATCCGCTTAACGATCTTTGCAGGACCTGAACACCGATGGGGACCCCGAGAAGTTAGCGAGAACTAGTTTGGCTGGAATCAAAAGAGAAGCAAAGGAGGATCTCCCAAAATGTATCTCCACAGAGTGCCAGGAATCCATTTCTGTTCTCAATCCTCTACATGGACGCTGCCAGCTGGGATTCTGTAAGAACAGGAGAAAAGTTTTTGGAAGTGCAACCATGAGGAAAGTAAAGAGGCAGGGACTTTGGCCCGAGTTCAATGTTCGTTGTGACAGTTGATGTTGCTCTCAGATTGTTCTAAGACATTGAGCATTTCCTCTATGATGGCCTGGAGTGCACGGCCCAGCTGCTCTGCGCTGTATGGTTTTCCCAAGGGAGGCACGTGGACAAATGCAGATCGCCCATGGCTCTGGTACAGGGAAGTGTAGTATGTGAAGTCACATAGATACCTACAAGAAGAACAATGAGATTCTTCAGCCAGGGAAGGGGGAGCAAACTTTATAAGCCCTTGCATTTGAAAGCCTACAAAGATACAGTCAAATGAATTATGGCATTTCATTCCTCTGCTCTTCAACAGAAGTGAGTACCTGTAGTTCAGGAATTGAATGGTGGAGTTCTTAGTGCTCTCTAAGCTTGTCTGTTTGCTTGAAATTGTTTCATTACCCAACTAGGCAATGTAAGCAATCCAAGTGCATCAATGAACCCCAACTAGCAGGCAGAATTCATGACCAAAACTCCTTTATTAAATTTTTATGCCGGCCATCTCCTCTATAAGGTGACTCCTTAATCTCACAACACATGGACAGACATAACCGCAGTTTCAACTGGGAAATTATTGGCATTTTAGATCAAGCCAGCTCCAAAAATGCTAGGGAATTCCTGGAAGCCTGGCATTCAGACAAATCAGCCATCAACGGATATATAGAACTAAACCACATTTACACATCATTTAAAATAAAATCTAGGAAAGATACAAAAGGACTACAGGGTAGTCCTTGACTTACAACCACAATTGAGCCCAAAATTTATGCTGCTAAGCAATGCGGCTGTTAAGTGAGTTGTGCCCCCTTTTACAACCTTTTTACCAGTTGTTAAGAGAATTACCGCAGTTAACTGAATCATGTGGTCACTAAGTAAATCTGGCTTCCCCTATTAACTTTGCTCGTCAGAAGGTCACAAAAGGTGATCACGTTACCTCGGGATACTGCAACCATCATAAATACCTGCCAGTTGCCAAGCACCCGAATTCCGATCATGTGACCATGGGGATGCTGCAACAATTGTTAAGTGTGGAAAACGGTCGTAAATCACTTTTTTTCAGTGCAGTTGTGACTTCAAACGGTCACTAAGCGAATGGTTGTAAGTCGAGGACTGCCTGTACCTCAAACCATCTCTCTCCGCCCCCACTCTTCTCCATCCCCTCGCCCTCTCTTCTCTGCTTCATACCGCCCAGCATCCTCTGATATCGTGACTGTGACATCCAGTCCCAATGCAGAGACTCTCTTGCACACGGCGTCCATGTCGATGATCGAATCAATGCATTCTGGGCCCCCTTCAATGCAGCATTCGGAACCTGGGCAGAAGTGGCAGTTGTCTAAACCCCGGTATCCCACGTTGTGGCCGCATTTTTCCAACGTCACTGTTGTGGCCATGCCAGACAGTCCCACGTGAACTATAAGCTGTTTTGAAAACAAGTCAAAAGCTTTCTGTTGCAGAAGTGGAAAAGCAGGTTCATGAAACTGGCACAGCTGAGAGCCACACTAACGACCTGAGGTCAACATGCCCTTAAATCTTTTCCAAATAACCCCTGGAGTGTACATTCCTCCCATCTGGAAGAAGGAAATGCATATAACCATAGTGCATGTCCTTAAAGAGACAGATTCTGGTTAAAAAAGGAACAAAACTCAACCTTCCTCTACCACCAAGAAAATACAGCCACTCTATATAAGTGTGCCATGATCTTTGCAATATTTGTTGACTCTTTCTTTCTTTCTTTCTTTCTTTCTTTCTTTCTTTCTTTCTTTCTTTCTTTCTCTCTCTTTTTCTTTCTTTCCTTTCTTTTTCTTTTTCTCTTCCTTTCCTTTCCTTTCGTTTCCTTTTTAAAAAGTGGGATAACCATGGGCCTAAGCCATTAAAACAAATTACCCCCTCCCCCAGCCTTTAAAGATCTCTGGGAAATGCAATCATAATATATCCCAAAGGTGCTTTTTCAGGAGGCAACTGGACTTTCTTGTTTTTTCTTTGAAGAGGTTTCGCTTCTCATCCAAGAAGCTTCTTCAGCTCTGGCAGGATAGTGGGGAATGGAAGGATCCTGTCAGAGCTGAAGAAGCTTCTTGGATGAGAAGCGAAATATCTTCAAAGGAATAAACAAGAAAGTCTAACTGCCTCCTGAAAAAGCACCTTTGGGACAACCATGACCTGGATGACTGATAATCTCTACAGACAATCATAACATACTTTGGTTTTGTTTTTGTTTTTTTTTCCTTTTGGGGGTTGTATTTGAATCTAAAGTCCATTCAAAATGCTACTATTACCCCTTGAAGCCCTAACTAGCTTGTGACCAGATGACTTTATGGTTCGCCTTTCTTATATAGAGACCCAGAACCTAAAATTATGCTCAGACAATTTTGCTAGAAAAGATTACCTTGGTTGCCAGATTATTCCCTTTGAATGCTAGCTACCTCATTTATCTGTTTATTTGATTTCTCCAAGGGTTCTAAATTTAAACATATTTATCTGTTGTTCTGTTCAACATTGCTGCTATTGGGTTTTACAGTGTATTCAGGTTTAAGATGGTTCAATGTCTTGCTCTAGCTAAAGTTTACAAACTTTGCTGTTTTACAAGGTGGTATGCAAACATACAGCACAAACAAGCCAATAAAGTCATATGCGGACTGCTGCTTGGATGCTGGAAATACTGCAAAAGAGACCTGCTGGATCAGATCGTGGATCTATGTAGTTGAGCAGCTGGTAGACCCACAGGCTAAATCAGACCCAGAAGTTAAAAAGTAAGGCGGAAAAGAACTTGCTTCCTATCATTCCTGGTCCCAGCTCTGAGACAAACTCAGACTGGTGGTTTATTTTACATACAATGGCTAATGACACCCAGCAAATCCACCTTCTATTGTTTTTGGCCCCATTCCTCTTAAAAATCATCAAATCCAAGTTTTTACTTGGAGTTGGGAACTTTCTGGAACGCTGACAGCCTGTTTTCTAAAACATACACAGCACGGGTAGAACAAATCCAAGGAACAGTAGTGGTGGTAGAGTCTAGCTCTGCTCACTGAAATGCTTAATTCTTGCCCCCAAGTAAAAAAAAAAAAAAATGCTGCCCTCCATCACCAAAAGTTAGTTCCTTTCTAACAGGGGTGAAATGATGCCAGTTCGGACTGGATTGCCCAATCCAGTAGCGATGGCGTTGGGTGGTTCGGAGAACCGGTAGCAAAAATCCCTGCCCTTCCCCATGCCCAGCTGAGCCACGCAATCATCAGAGGATTTTTTTTTATTCACCTCTTCAGCTGAAAAAATGCTTTTAAAAGTTTTTTAAAAAGCCTCCGATGATCGCGCGGCTCAGCTGGGATCATCAGAGGCTTTTAAAAGAAAAAAAAGCCTCTGACGATCAGGCAACTTAGCTGGGATCGTTAGAGGCTTTTAAAAGCATTTTTTTTTACAACCTCTTCGGCCGAAAGAAAAAATGGTTTTAAAAGTAAAAAAAAAAACAAAAAACTTGGCCACGCCCACCCAGTCACATTACCCCCCCACCAAGCCACACCCACAGAACCGGTAGTAACAAATTTTACATTTCACCACTGCTTTCTAGTCTTCTCCCAATGCATTGCCAGAATGGGAGGGAGAAAGCAGAATGTGCCCACCCTGGAGGAATGAGTCGGACAAACAGGAAACCTGCCCCCATCTTCTGCCAAGTGGGTGAGAGGCCACAGCCGCCCCTCCACTCAGGGTTCTCCCTTGTCCCCCATGATTGTCCCTCGCCTCAAAAATCAGGGTTTTGCAAACTGAGCCAGTTTCCTGACACCGATCTTCCTCAACCTCACCGCCGCTCTCACGTCCTTTCACTCACTTGTGGGCTGTGTTTCTTCCATAAGGCAGGAATGAGCCTCTGCACAGCCTGATACTCAACAGGAATCTCGTAGACATGTAGATCCACATCCTCTCCGAGGCCCATTTTCTCCAATTCCTGAAAAAAAAGGGGAAAAAAAGAGGTTTCAAAATAGTTTGTCACCTAGAAGGATCTCAGAAATGTGTGTTTTCTCTGTAGCTGCCCAGGCCCTTTGGAACAGCCCCTCACCTGAGATTGGGGGGAGGGGGGGGAAAGGATGCGTAGAGGCTGTGAAAACCTGGGATTCCCCCCCAAGCATTGGGCTAGGATGGGATTGAATCAGGGGGTTAAAATGATGTATTTTTATGTTGCTGTTTTTAATTGGTCGCTATGAGCCACATATGATCGTTCTGTAAGAGACGTGGCCATACACATTCTTTAAATAAACAAGGGATTTCCACTTAAGTCCAACCATAGTTATTTGGGTACATGGGCTAAAAGGAACTCATAATATTCAGTGGCAGTCTACTTCTAATTATCAAATGCTGAGCCAGGAGGACTGTTTTATGCTGATTATGCCCTTGCTGGTCTCAGCAGGTGGCACCACCTAAATAGGGTTCAGCCCAATTAGGATTTGGCTAGAGATGCCCAGGAAAGATCAAAGCTATAATTAGAACCGGGAAGTCAAAGAAGCAGGTCTCACTAAAAGGAGAACTATCTTTTTCTTTTACAAAGAAGGGCCATTCTATGAAGTTACTAGGATTTACATTCAACTCAAGGGAGGCTGTAATTCTTTACTTATCCCATAAGTAAAACAGTAGCAAAAAAAAAAAAAAAAAAATTATAGCAGCGTTAACTGCAGCAAGAAGTATCTGAAATAAGGATCATCCTCCCTCCCTTTCCTCCCGTTAAAGTAGATTTTCTCAAACTTGGCAACTTTAAGCTGTTTGGATCTTCAACTCCCAGAATTCCCCAGCAGGCAATGATGGTTGGGGAATTCTGGGAGTTGAAATCCATATAGCTTAAAGTTGTTGCCAAAGTTCGGGAAACAGCGCATTAAAGAAATGTTTCTTAATTAATCAGGCAGATGGTGACTAATTAACAAGGAAATCCAAAGAAGCTGCAGACAAGTAAATAGCTGTTTTGGAAAGGAAGGGCTACTTTGGGATGGTGGACATCTGGCTTCTGATATGGATAAGGTTTAAAATCAAGACACCTGGAGGATACCTGACAGTGAAAGTGAGGTTACTGTCCAGTAAGGAATATCTCTACTGCCTTTGATGTCGTAACTCCCGTCATGAATTTTGAAAGCAAAATCAGAAATGAGGTGATAAGCCAAGGGAAATCATCAAAACCATAAAAAAGTGAAAGTTAGAATATTTTGGACATGTGATGCAACACCCAGAAAAATACGGCATACTTCACTTAATCCTCCAAGGAAAGATTGAAGGCAAACGAGGTCCAGGCAGAAGAAGAACATCATGGCTTCAAAATCTAAGGGACAAAACTCAACACCACTTTTTCATGCGGTTGTTGATAAAAATAGGATCACCAACGTCCGATGACAGATATGGCACAAGAAGAAGAAGAAGAAGGTGCTCTAGAGATGGCCATAAAGACCCTCTGTTATGGGATAGATAGATAGATAGATAGATAGATAGATAGATAGATAGATAGATAGAGATAGATAGAGATAGACAGACAGACAGACAGACAGACAGACAGACAGACAGACAGTTAGCAGACAGACACAGAGAGAGACAAAAAGAGAGAGAGAGACAGACAGAGATAGATGTGGGTAGGTAGGCAGGTGGATGGGCGGATGGATGGACAGAGATAGATAGACAGACAGACAGATGTGGGTAGGTAGGTGGATGGATGGATGGACAGAAAGGGATAGATGATAGGTAGGTAATTAGACAGACAGATAGGTGTGGGTGGGAAGGTAGGTGGATGGATGGGACAGAAAAAGGTAGGTAGGTAGGTAATCGTGTTTCCCCCAAAATAAGACCCAAGATAGATAAGATAGACAGACAGACAGACAGACAGACAGACAGACAGACCGACAGACCGACCGACCGAGACCGACAGACAGACAGACAGACAGACAGACAGATACAGATGGACGGACGGACACAAACAGAAAGATCTCGAGGACTACCTTAAGGAACCTCCTGGTGCTTTTGCCCTGTAAGATGCAGGCTCCTGAAATAATAATTGAAACCCTGGGCCACAGTTTATTTTCTGCATGACCCAGTGAAGCATCAGAAGACTTGGCCTATGGTCTGAGCCAGAACGGGAAGCTCTCCAGTCTCAATGCTGCAGCCCACAAATCAAACTGGATCATATTGCTCTGCAACAAAACTGCTCACTTGCCCCCCCCCCCGTCTTACTAAGGTGAATAGCAAAATGCAACCATCATTCGACAAGCCCTTCAGATTATCCTGTCACCAGCAGAGAACGCTGGGAAGCTAAAACAAACAAATAAGTAAGTCAAAAGTACAGCCCACCCCAGCCACAAAAACATTGCCAATCAAAGAGGCACAAATTACAAGTCTGTCTCAGGATCTATCCTGATACGGGACGCAAGGACAACGCTTAGCTCTTAAAACTGGAGGCCACATTTATAACTAGAGACTTCAGGCTGGGTGATTAAGAAAGGAGATTTTATAGTTTGGAGGACAAGTAGGGGAATTAAATGAGAATGCAGTTTGGGGGCAGTGGAAAGGGTTAAAGTTCCCCTTCTCTTGCAAAAAAAAAGCCTAATCTAATGAGCTCTGAATCTTCTATTGATTTTGGAGGAAAAGAAAATCACTAATTCTGGAGGCATCTGGTTGACAAGAGCTGAAAGAGAATAAGTAGCCTGGGGGACCACGTTGGTATATTAGCAGCCATTAACCATGAAAGCTAGAGGGAAGCTATATTCAGAGGCAGTCTACCTTAGCAGAGCAGAGCAGAGCAAGGAATGCTGCTGCTGCTGCTTATGGGCTTCAGAGTTGGTGAAAAGTCTCATTTTTAATTCTATGAGCAAGGGAATACTGTTTATTTCTTGTCACAATAAGAACTGCAAGTTCAAGAAAATGGAAGAGCTTTGCAGCACTTTTTGTGGCTGTTGCATTAAAACCCATCAGCTTTCGTCTTGGTTGCTACAGGTAGTCCTCTATTTATGACCAGTGAAAATGGAACTTACCACCCAGTTTCGAAATTCTGATGCCTGTTGTCCCCCACCCCACCCCGTGGTCATGTGACCATGTTTTGGGTGCTTGGCAACCAGCCCACATTTATGGCCGTTTGCAGCATGCAAACGAGGTGGTCGTGCAATCATGATTTACGACATTTGCCAGAAATTGGTCTTTACTTCCAGCTTCTGGAAACCCCCCCCCCCCAATCCTCCCATAGTGAATAATGGGTTTGTATAATGACCGCAGAGTTTGCTTTATGACTGCTGCATTCACTTAACAAAAAAAGTTAGTAAAATTGGGCCGCGGTCATGTGACTTGCTTTACAATTACGATCATAAGGACTATTTGTACCAGAGACGAACAGGGCTCTCCTGATGCAATGTAACTTCCAGAATGTATTGATTTTGATTATCTCACCACGATCAAATACAACTCTCAGGGGTTGGAACTAACTAAGCTAAAAGAGTATAAATCTTAGAACTAGCTGGGAATTCTAGTCCAGCACATCGGAATGTCTTCAGGCTAGAAAAGGCAGCTCTGGCGCTGTGGGTTAAGCCAACTTTCGGGTATTAAGGTAAACCCCTCCTTCCTTTGCGGTCAGATAATTTCAGCCCCCCCCCCCCCCATTTTATGAAAAGCTCTGTTTTTTCCCCCTTACACTTTTATTTCAAAGTGTTTAAGATTTTATTTATATTTCGAATTTACATGGCTGCCCATCTCACAAGAAGTGACTCTGGGCAGCGTACAACAAAGAAATAAAACATACATGTCAAAAAAGTCAGTATTAAAGAGTTTTAAAAGTGTGAGGCATGCAACAGTTTAGATTAGCAAGGGAAGCCACCTCAAGATCTCATCAGTTTCCTGGGACCCCCCAGGCCTGGGACATAGCTAGGACTTCCAGAACATTAACAGAGATGGAGTGGCCTCACTTCAGGGAGGAGAATGTTTCTTAAGGCAGGTGCAACAGCAGAAAAGGCCCAGCGCCTCCGGGCTTTAGAGTAATTCCCTGAGACATGGGACCCACAGCAAGCCTCTTGGCTACATGCTGGACAGGAAGATGTAATTGGAGAGAAGCAGTCCCTCAGATCATGGTCGCGGCCCACTACCAGGCCATGGTCTATTTGGAACTGGGCCCTGCAAGTGGCAGGCTAGTGTGCACATTGAGCTGTGTGTGCACCAACCCGCTCCTTGCGTATGTCGAGTTACAGGTGTGCATACTAGCCCACCGCTCACATGGCCGAGTTTCCTTCTCCTCCCCGCACCAGGCCACCAAGCTGCAAAGTTTAGAGACCGCTGCCTCAGATAACTTATATTTTGTTATGTTTAAGGTAAAGGTGTCTCCTGCCCAGGGGTGTACTCATTGTGTTTCTTAGTTGAGAGAGCCAGCATTGTCAGAAGACACTTCCGTGGTCATGTAGCCAGCATGATGATATATCGAAGGGCATAGAACGCTGTTACCCTTCCACTGCAGTGGTACCTATTTTTCTACTCACATTTGCATGCTTTCGGACTGTTAGATGGGCAGAAGCTGGGGCAAATAACGGGAGCTCAGCCCATCTTGCGGCGCTCAGCTCTCCAACGCGGACTGTCAGCTTTCCAAGCTGACAAGCTCAGCGTCTTTAACCGTTGAGCCATTGTGCCTCTATCTAGTTATGTTTACTAGAACATAGATAACTCAAATAACCTATACCTGTGATGGCGAACCTGTGGCACAGGTGGCACGCATAGCCATATCAGTGGGCACGTGAGCTCAGCTCCGGCACGTATGCACGCGCCGGCCAGCTGATTTTCGGGCTTTCCGGTCCCACTGGAAGCCGGCAAACGGGCCGTTTTCAGCCTCCGGAGGACCTCCAGGGGTGTAGGGAAGGCCGTTTTCACCCTCCCCAGACTGCTAGAGAGGCTCTGGAGCCAGGTAAGAGAGAAAAACGGGCTTACTGGGCCATCGCATGCCAGGAA